CTCAGAAAGGGCCCCACTCTCCAAGAGAGTGATTGGAATTCCCTCAGGGATGAGCCAGAGGTTATAGGTTCCATAGTAGATGTCCATCCGGATGGGAAGGTCATCATAGACATATTTCAACGACTGACTAACAACAGGTTGGTCCGGACCTCCCCAGAAGCAACAAGGTGGGTTCAAACTTCACAAGTCCCGGGTGTATAGAATCCGCGTAGTGAAGGAGCAGGGGCGCTGGATTGCATACCAGCCTGAAACCCCATTGGAGAATTTAGCCTTCGACCCGGCCTCGTGGGCCTGGGCTACAGTGTATGGCAGGGGCAGAGTATCAACAGTTCACGTTAATGCCCTCGACCCGGCCTCGTGGGCCTGGTCTACAGTGCATGGCAGGGGCAGAGTATCAACACTGCACCTTCATGCATTACAGGCTAAGTCAGCGTATAGGATGCTACGCCCACATGTACAAGATGAGGTAACCCACAGAGGGATGCGGGACTTAAATGAGGGCAGGGACGTGGTAAGGCAAATCCAATGGTTCTCTGGTATGAAGTCCAAGCCAGCTGAGTCTGCTTCCAGGCAGTGGCAAATAGCCCACCGCTGTCTTCCGACTGGTTGATCGACAGGACCACCCTGGAACAGAGGGGTCTAGCCCTGCCGTGGTGTAAACACTGTGGCAGCGGATTTCCTGCTAGACGCATATCGGAGACCATTCAGCACATCTTCATGCAATGCCCAAGGTGTTGGGACCGGATTTGGAGGAAGTTTGGCACAGATCAGCGATGGCCCTGGGATTGGAGAGCGATACTGTGTGCCTTTTGACCCAGGCTAGCCAATATGCTCAATATATTTCCGAACTGGGTAGGAAGGCCGTCCTCTGGGCGTTGTGCCTCAGGCACTGTACCTTAGAAATGGAAAACATCCTTTTGGATGAAAGCGAGCTCATGGGCACTATCTAGAAATACATACAAACAGGAATTCAAGCGCACTGGGAAGCGACAAAGGAAACATTGGTTATTTTGCACACAAAAAAAGAAATTGGAGAGCAAATAAAGATAGTAACCACAGACTTGGACACAGGACACTTCCGGAAAGTATTCCGGACGAGTGTCTGGACCGGTCCGGACTGTCCGGT